TCAGATTTCAATGCTTCTCCCTGTTTGTCCTACGTACATCAAACCACATGAACATGGAGTCTCATGAACACCCCAAACCCCAAAATTCCTTGACAGGCTGCATACACATCAGATTTCAATGCTTCTCCCTGTCTGTCCTACGTACATCAAACCACATGAACAGCGGGGACCCCCAAACCCCAAAATTCCTTGACAGGCTGCATACACTGGCTGGTTGTTTTAAAGGGTCTAAAAACAATTTTAATTGTAACCTTCTTTGACAGTCTTTCAAGGCAATTTGCTACCATGCTGCCATCGGGCAAAATAGCAACATCTCTGATCAAGTCATCCTCCTTGCCTTTCAGTTTCTCCTCCCTCCCACCTTGGTGCACTGTGGAAACATATTTCAGGTTGTATCTCTGATCAAGTCATCCTCCTTGCCTTTCACGTTCTCCTCCCTCCCACCTTGGTGCACCGTGGAAACATATTTCAGATTGTATCCATTCAACTGAAATGTTTGCCCCCAAAACCCCAATTCTTTTTCTTTATGATCTTGATCCGATACGGTTCTTGCTCTGTGTATCAGCATATACACCACTGAACGTTTTTGTGCTGGATAATAATGACTAGCACTGCTCAAATAGAGATTTGTATGAGTTGGTTTCCTATATACACTTCTATCCAAATACAGTGGGGTCTCTACTTAAGAACTTAATCCGTATTGGAAGGCGGTTCTCAAGTCAAAAAGTTCTCAGGTCAAATCTGCATTTCCCATAGGAATGCATTGAGAACCATTTGATCCGTATCTGCTCTTTTCCGTCCATAGAAACTACAGTAATGATCTTTATTCCTTATGCACCAGCACATCTTAAAAAGCTGATTTTCTATCACTTTATAATTTTACTGTGAACTATATCATTCAAAGGAAACCATATCAGAGTGTAGTCACACATATTTGCTACATTTCTAAAGTCAGTTTTAATAAACTCAGAACAAGGGTAAGTAAGGCCCCATGGCAGGAGATCCTAACAAGAAAAGGAGGCCGAGAAGGGTGGGAGCTTCTAAAAGGGAAATTCTAAAGGCACAACTACAAACAATTCCAATAAGGAAAAAAAAACGTGGGAGACAGCAGAATAGGTCAGTGTGGCTTCACAAAAAGATCAGAGAGGGCCTGAAAACAAAAAAGGACACATATAGGAAGTGGAAGGAAGGCCAGATTACGAAGGAAGAGTACAGACAAGTAGCAAATAATTACAGTGATGGAGTTAAGACAAAAGATGAGAATGAGCTGAGATTGGCAAGAGACGGTGAAAGCAACAACAAAAAACATTCTTTAGGTATGTGCATCAGCAAAAGACAGACAAAAGAAACAGTGGCTCATTGACTTAATGTGGATGGGAAAATAATAACAGATGACAAATAAAAGGTAGACGTGTTCAATGCCTACTTTAGTTCAATCTTTTCCCAAAAGACATTCAAGCACAGGCAAATGTGAAGTACAACTGGAGGGGGGATAGGATTTCAGGTTGAGATTAATTAACAGATAGTCATTCACACCTCACTAGTTTGAATGAGAATGTCCTGAGAATGGCTGATGGTCGGATTCCAAAGGATCTCCTGTGTGGAGAATTAGTGCAGTGAAATCGCTCCAGGGGGAGACCACAGCTACGATACAAGGAGATCTGCAAGCGGGATCTGAAGGTCTTAGGAATGGACCTCAACAGATGGGAAACCTTGACCTCTGAGCGCTCAGCCTGGAGGCAGGTGGCGCATCACGGCCTCTCCCAATTTGAAGAGACCCTTGTCCAGCAGGCCGAGGCCAAGAGGCAGTCCTGAAAGCAGCAAAACCAGGGAGCTGGACAGGGGACAGATTGGATTTATCTGCAGTGTGGAAGGGATGGTCACTCCTGAATTGGCCTCCTCAGCCACACTAGACGCTGTTCCAAGTCCTTCATACAGAGCACGTCACCATAGTCTTTCGAGACTGAAGGATGCCTAACAACAGTTTGAATGAGTTCAAACCCCTGGGGCCAGATATATTAAAGAATATTGAAATAAGTGACTGAAGAGATCCTAGAACTACTTTTTTTTTTAATTTTGGAGGACAGGTGAAGTGCCAGATGATTGGAGAAAGTGTAATATTGTTCCTATCTTCAAAAAAGGCAAAGAGGAGGAACTAGGGAATTACAGACCAGTCAGCCTGATATCAATCCCAGGGAAAATTCTGGAGCACCTTATAAAGTAGCCTCTCTGCACACGCCTTGAAAACATTGCAATAGTAACGAGAATCCTCCGAGAATAATCTTATCTCATATTTTGATCAGGTAACCTCCATAGTAGGCAGTAGAAATGCTTGTAGATAATATATCTTGACTTCAGCAAAGTCTTTGACAATGTGCCTCATGATATTCTGATTGGCAAACTAACTAGGTACGATCTGATTAAAACAACTGTCAGGTGGATCCACTGTTGGTTACAGAATTGTACTTACCAATGCTTCTTTCTCAAACTGAATGGAGGTAACATGTGGTGAACCCCAAAATTAAGCCCTAGGCTGTTCTTCAACAGTTTTATTCATGATTTAGATGAGACGCTGCAGGGAATGCTTATCAAGTGTGTGGATGACACAAAATTGGGTAGAATAGCTAATACTCTGGAAGACAGAAGGAAAATTAAGAAATATCTTGATATGTTTGAGCACTTGGCTGAAAACAATAGAATGGAATTTAACAGGAATACCTGCAAAGTTCTACACATGGGGTGGAAGGGAACAAATGCACAGTTACAAGATGGAGGATATTTGGCTCACTAATGCTACGAGTGAGAAGGATCTTGGAATTATTGTAGATCACAAGCTGAATATGAACCAACAGAGCAATGTGACTGCAAAAAAAGACAAATGCAATTTTAGAATGGATTAACAGAAGTATAGTCTCCATATCCCGTGAGGTACTAGTTCTCGTCTATTTGGCACTGGTTAGGCTCATTTATAGTACTGTGTCCAGCTCTAGACACTGCACTTTAAGAAGAATGCCAGCTAACTGGAACAAATTCAGAGGAGGACAACAAGGATGATCAGGGAACTGGAAAAGAATTTGTTCTCTATCATGCCAGAGTTCAGAACGTGTAATAATGGACTCCAGTTACAAGGAAGCCAGATTTCAGCAGAATATCAGGATAAATGTCTTAACTGTTAGAGCAGTACAACAATGGAACCAATACATCGTCTGTTAGAGCAGTACAACAATGGAACCAGGCATTCAAGAGAAAATTAGGCAGCTATTTACTAGATCTTCTTTGATTTGGATTCCTGCACTGAGCAAGGGGTTGAACTTGGTGGCCTTATAGCCCTTTTCCAACTCAATTATTCTATGATTCTATGATGTCTCAGATTAAATAGTCAGTAAACCCAACTTTCAAAAAAGTATTTTTCATGCAGACAGTTATAAAAGAGGACACAGCATTGTCTCAGAAAAATACATTTCTTCATGTATGAACTCTGCTTTTTTGATGAAGTTCAGGAAAGTCATTAATCCAATACAGTGGTGCCTTGCTTAACGATTGCCCTGCATTACAACGAATCTGCTTTACGACAATCTTTTTGCGATCGCAAAACGATGGTCTAAATGGGGGAATTTCGCTTTGCGATGATTGGTTCCTTGCTTCGGGAACCGATTCTTCGCAAAACAAAGTTTTTCTAACAGCTGATCAGCGGTTTCAAAATGGCCACTGGGTAATTAAAATGGCTCTCCGCTGTGTTTAGGGACAGATTCCTCGCTATACAGGCAGCGAAAATGGCCGCCATATGGAGGATCTTCGCTGGACAGTGAGTTTTTACCCCATTGGAATGCATTGAATGGGTTTCAATGCGTTTCAATGGGGTTTTTATTTTCGCTTTACGATGTTTTTGCTTAACAGCGATTTTCCTGGAACAGATTATTGTCGTTAAGCGAGGCACCACTGTATTATGTTTCCAAGTTTAGTTACATGATAACAGCAAATCTGAACTATGTCTTGTGTGTCTATTTTTAAAAGGTATAACATAAGAAGGGGCCTTCAGAAATAGAGATAGAAGGACATGCTTCTCCATATAGTATACAGTGTATTTATTCTGGTGGCCTACACCTAGTTCCCAGTACAGCCAATGTTCAGCATTGGATTCATGGTCCAAACCACTGGTTCTTAACCTTGGGTTACTCAGGAGTTTTGGACTGCAACTCCCAGAAGCCTTCACCACCAACTGTGCTGGCTGGGGTTTCTGGGAGTTGCAGTTCAAAAACATCCGAGTAACAAAGGTTAAGAACCACTGGTCCAAACTATCTCATGAACCTTAGCCAGACGGACAAAAAAACTTATCTGGTGCAAGGCAGGTTCCTTATATTGCTGTTATGATCTGTCATATTGTTTCCAACTTATGGTGATCCTCGAAATCAACGGTTCACAATCTTGAGTCCCCAGATGTTCTTGAACTGCAACTCCCAGAAGCCTTCACCACTAGGTATGCTGGCCAGGGCTTCTGGGAGTTGCAGTCGAAGAACATCTGGGGACCCATGGTTGTGAACCACTGCTATAAATTGACGCCCAAAATATCTTATGTGTGAGATAAGGTTTTGTAAACTAAAAAAAAGCGTGCTAAAGAACAAGGCTACCTTTATCGCGTTAAGTCATCATCATTTTTATCCTACTGATTTGCACTTTTCTAGTGAGTGTGCTCATGACATATCCAAAGTACAATGCCCCAGTTTTGTCGTTACACCTTTAGCTTCTAATGAGATTTCAATCTTCTTCATTTTGAACCCACTAATTTGTCTTTCTGATGGTCTAAAGTAGTTGTAAAGCTCTTCTTCAACACATTTCAAATGGATTGGGTTTTTTCTGCCACCTTTTTTCATTGCTCAGCTTTCACATCTGCAACCATCAGAGCTTCCTGATGACTCCCATGGAATGAATTTGAGAAACACAGCTAATGAACTTACGTTATGATATTTCCTTCTCCTCTTCCTCCCTGTTCTCCCCTCCAGGATGGATGACATTCAGTTGTGCAAGGACATCATGAACCTCAAGAAAGAGCTACAGAATTTAGTAGCAATCCCAGGTAAATTTTGTGTGTGTGCATCCTAATGTGCATGCATTTCAAAAACAAAATCCAGCAACACCAGCAACTCCTTCACTTAGTTCCATTCTGCCATCGTAGAACTCTTGTCAATCAGATTGCAATTGCCAAAAATCTGGGTAGATCTGGTTAGAAAAATAAACTCTACATATGCAAACCAGAAACAACAATGGGATGAGAATTAGGCACAGCACATGTGTTCCATTTCAGTAAGAAAAAGCCCAATGTTTTTCACAAGCCTTCCATAACTAGTTACCTCCCAGTTGTGTGGGTTGTGTTGGCTGCAGATAATGGGAGGGTCCAGCACATTGTTGAAGCAAGGAAAAATAATGCCAGAAAGTTTCTGTGAAGGTTGCTAATTTGCTGTCTTACAAGGCAAAAACTTCCTTAGACCATCATTACTGTCATGTAAGGTAAGAACTTCTCAGTTGAAATCCCCAAATTTCTCTGCAGCACCACACTCTCTGCTTTATTACCTTAGTTACAAAGCCACAGCAACAGCAAAACTGTTGTTCTCCTAGCCTGTTGTTATTGTGCAGTGATGTTATTGTGCAGCAAAGCAAAGCAACATTCGACAAGGCAATTCTAAAATTGGGGCAGCCCAGAAAATTATAACTTTGAAATTTATAACTATGAAAACATAGTCTGCTTTTGCTCTGTGCCAAATTTGGGAAAGTTTGGGCAAAGGGCTTTTGAGATAGGAATTTTTAAATGTAAAATGTCCCTAGATTTAAAACAGATCAAATAAATGGAAAATACCAATCTTGCATATCTTGAAAGAGAATGATTGGCCTGGCCCACATTTTTAATTTGAAAATAATCCAGGCTGCAGGGACTGAAATATTTATCCTTGAAAAAGGCCTTTCAAAAGGGCAAAATAATGTACATTTGTTGAAAAACAGTCATGACAATCGGTTTGTGTTTGAATAAGAAGTGGTTAACATGAAAAAAGGAGTCAATGTCTGGGATGTTTGAATAAGAAGTGGTTAACATGAAAAAATGAGTCAATGTCTGGGATTTTCCCTTGCTTGGTGTCACTTGGTGAATGGTAGTGAGCACACGAGGACATCTTGACTACTACCATTAGTCTACACAACATTCAGGGTTCCCTTTTTTACGTAGAGTTTATCCCTTTTCCTGCTGGTAAGGCAAGGATGGCATCAGTCTACACAACATTCAGGGTTCCCTTTTTTATGTAGAGTTTATCCTTTTTCCTACTGGCAAGGCAAGGATGGCATCAGGACATTTCCTGACATTTTGAATTGTGGATACAGAAACATAATATCCTACATTCATAAACTGTTACCTAGCTTGGGCGGGGAAGTGCCTAGTGGAAGACCAAGAAAATGAGGCCAACATGGTGCAATGCAATTTTATTAAAACCAAAAGATACATGCTAGGGGCTGTGCTCTAAAGGCGAACAAAAGCCCCTAACAAAGACAGCGAAAGACCCTTATACCTGAGATTATCAGTTTCTTACGCAAAAATGCTTGAGGGTTGTTGGGCGAGGCCTGGAGAGCACGTTTTGACCAGTTTCAGGACTGTACTGGCCATCCTTGATAACATTGTATTGTCCAGGCCCTGCCAAAGGCCCCTTTTCAACGTTACAAGGACACCCCTCTATCTCTTCCTACAGACTACACAACAGCATTAAAGAATGTCAGAAACATACACACGTAGGCATGGCGAGCAATGAAGGCACAATACATTTTCAATATAACACACTCCTGTAAGACTGGCAGTTTTCTTGGACAATGTATAAGAGCAAGGAATACAGTAATACAATTGGATAAATGTAGACTAACAATTCCTCCCTTTTCTTTTGTTCATCAATGTGGTCGCTTTTATAGACACCTTGATGAACACTTAGCTCATTTAATAACAACATACCCTGAGTCCAGTTCTACCTGTGAGCTGATTGAGGGTAAGTCAGAGAGTACCATATACATTGAAGATGGGGAAGGAAAAAAAACCCTCATGGCCTTAATCCATGCCCTTGTCAATGATATACCTGAAGGACTTGATGCATAAGATGGAACATGTTTGCACCCTATTCCTGCTCCAGAGCTGTAACTTGCAGTAATTGAGGACATTGCAAAGAAACATATTTCGACTAAACATTAATAGAAACTTTCTTATGCTAGAGCTGTTCAATAGAGGAACAGACTATCACAGGATGCAGCATATGTTTCTCTGTTGAACTTGTTTAATTAGGGTTTGCTTGGCTGTCTTTTGAGGGATGTGGTGGTGCTGCGGGCTAAACCACAGAAGCCTTTGTGTGCTGCAGGGTCAGAAGACCAGCAGTCGTAAGATCGAATCCACGCGATGGAGTGAGCTCCTGTCACTTTGTCCCAGCTCCTCGCCAACCTAGCAGTTCGAAAGCATGCAAATGCGAGTAGATAAATAGGTACCACCTCGGTGGGAAGGTAAAACAGCGTTCCCTAGTCACGCTGGTCACGTGACAATGGAAACAGTCTTTGGACAAGCGCTGGCTCTATGGTTTGAAAATGGGATGAACATGGCCCCCTAGAGTCAGACACGACTGGACTAAAAAAAAATGTCAAGAAGAACCTTTACCTTTATCTTTACCTGGTTGTCCTTTGGGGATGCTATAGCTGCAAGCGTCCTATACTGAGCAGAGAGTTAGACTAGATTAATTCCATGTAAACTTCATCCCTATATATATATTTTTTTCTGTACAAAGGGTCTTGGGGACAAACAAGCACACAGACTCCAAAACCACTTCATAATGACCAATGGGATTTGCCCACCAAGGCTGATCCTTGACAATGTCTCTGATAATGATTGGTTTCCTAACAGTTATTTGCTTCTGCAAATTTGTCCTCTGGGGAAGTGACCTGTTTTTTTCATTCATCCTCAAGCTATCTCCCAAATTACTCAAGAAAACAGCTTTGCTTTGTATTGTTTACCACCTTCTCCTCTGCACCTAAGAGTCATTTATAGTTCTCACAGGACCAATTAATTTTCCTTCTAGTCTGAGAGTTGCAGAAATCCATTGCTTCTTAACTGCAGCATCCACAAAATACTGTCCTTTTGTTCTTGAAAAAGAGGCATATTAATTACCTGAATGTCTAAAAGGTACCACAGGCTATTTCCAAATGATAAAAGTACTTAATAAAAAAAATCCTTTAAAATATCTTAACTATTTAGAGGTACCTTAAATTGCTTGTTATGTTAAACATATTGAACTGGTTTTCTCCTTGTACATATAGCTTTGGGCACCGTATGATAAGGGCCTAGACATTGAAATTTACCCCTATATAAATGGGTAACCATTTCCAACTGCCAAGGCCAGTTGGGCAGATCCTTATTTGTCATCTCAAACAATAAAAAGTTTTGGGCCAAACCTGGAAAGACAACTAACAAAATGTGCTCTTCCTAAATACACTAGTTTGTCCAGCACTGCTAAATGTTCTTCAAGCTTGACATCTCAGATCCTCTTTTTGATGACTGCCTTGGCATTAGCTAGCTCATCACTAAGAGGACACCTGGGGAGAAGCCCAGCCTCAGTAATTCAGCAGATAGATTCCTCTTCCAAGTTGACTGGAAGATGTCTGCTAATATCAAAGGTGCCAAACCTGCCGGAGCAAAAATAAGTTTCAACCAGCAATTATACATGTGGGTCAAAGCACGTGCTTTGATGAAAACTTACCCTGCCTCCAATCAAAGTGTAGCATTCAAGACATATAGAGGCACTGCAAGGATCCTTCTCAAAAAAAATTGTCTGTACTATTTCCAAGGGCTTCAAATTAGAATATTAGAATAGTTTGTACTATTTCCAAGGGCTTCAAATTAGAATAGTTTGTTTAGGATGCCCAATTATCTATTCAAAATAGCAATCCCCAAATTTAGGAAAGCTTTCATGTCAACTAGGTTTAATGTACTTCCATCTAGACTACCAGAAGGTAGATATTGCTAATCAAGCCAGCCCTTGCAATGAGGCAGAGACTGAAAGTGCTGATCATGTCCTCTTTAAGTGCTCTTTCTATCGAGACATTTGGAGGGGTCTCCCCTAGCCCATATTGCAACAATTTCAAGGGTGGTCCAGAGAATTTTATGTTGTGCTCTTACTCTCGGACGAGAAATCTGATATAACTAAAACAGTGACGAAGTTTTGTGTGGCAGCAATGAAGTGTTGCTGTTCCCTCCTTGCACCAATTAAAGCAATGCTAGATGTTTAGTAATGGCCACACTGTGAAACTATGGAGATTCTATAAAATTTAGTCATATTGCAATACGTTGTATATTTTTAATTGTATTTTCGTGTTATACAGTACTAATATTTGAATACATCTGCTGGTTAGTGACTGTAATAAAGATCAGTCAGTCAATCAACTAACAAAATGAAGGTCTGAAGTGCATGCTGTGCAAACTGTCATTGGATGAAATAAATGTATCTTCTTTCAGTCCATTTCCTGTTTCTATCTTTTTGAGCAGAGAAAGATAAGACCAAGATACAGAAACAAAGAGAAGATGAATTGATCCAGAGGATCCACAAACTGGTGCAAAAACGAGACTTTCTCGTTGATGATGCAGAAGTGGAGAGATTAAGGTAAAATATTGTCTTGTGGGGGAACAGGAGTGAAGAATTAGGGCAGTGGTTCCCAAAGTTTTTCAACTCATGGCTCCCTTTCCTCCCTGACTCTGGGCATCTTCTTCCCCAGATTTGACTCCCAGCCTGCCCCTTGAGCCTTCAGCCTCAGGCAGGCGGGCGGGCGGGATCTCTCTCGTCCTCTTCCAGACTGCAGCACCTCACAAGGAGGCAGAGCCAGAAAGGGCGGCTCTTGCCCCTAGACATCCCCACCCCTGGCAACTTAGCCCCTGTAGATGGAGGGGTGTGGGGCTGGCCCTCTCTGGAGGGCTGTGACAATGGTGCGGGGTGGGGCCCTTGGCTTCCTCCCACCAGCCCTGCTTTCCATGGCACGCTGGGTGGAGCCACTGGGTGGGGTCAGGGACAGACACCTCCATGGGCAACAGATAGCTCAGAAGGCAGCCCAGTCCGCCTGTAAGCAAGCAGCCGGGGTGGCACCCATGCCAGCCAGGCCAGGCACGAGAAACTTAGCTCAAGGAGGCAGCCGGGATTGGGATCACCAGGCACTGCAGAGGATATGCGGCAGGAGGATAGAGACCTTGCTCTATATTCCCTTCCCTTTCCTGTGGCCAGGGCCGATTCAAGGCTCTGGTGGACCCTGGGCAAAAAGTATAATACTGCCCCCCTTCCCTTACCTCCCACTTAAATAGGTCACACAACATGAACAATGTAATATAACATGAATAAGACTGGCTCCCTAAGGTAGCAGTAAATAAGTGAACAAATTTTTCTTTTCACAACAATGAAAAGAAAGTCTAGCTTATGACCATACACAAGCCTTCACTACTAGAAAACAAAAAGTGTTTCCAAAGAAAAACCTGCAATAAAAATAAGAGTCTTGGTGCCAATGGGCTAAAGTGCTACCTCCTATATGAGTACCAAAATAAACACTTTGAATATGTCAATTTGCTGCTCTGGTTATGCTCAGGAACCAGTAAATCAGGAACCACTTTTTCAACCATCTGCCATGCCACAATGGATCCTGGACAGGCTGTCTGCCACGATGTTCATCTTGCCAGGGATATGTTGAACCTCAAAATTGAAACCCTGTAAAGTTAAACTCCAGTGCTCTTATTTTTATTGCTTTTGGTTATGAGATTTCATCTTTTGCAACCAGACTAACGCACGATGGTCAGTCTGCAGAACAAATCTATGTCCCCATAAAGACGGGTGGAGATGTTGAAGTGTTCATACCACAGAAAAAGGCTCTTTTTCAAGTACAGAGTAGGCGCTTTCACTGGGGATTAACTTCTTACTGAAGTAACTGGTAGGATAACAAATCTCATCATTCCCTTTATGCAACAACACAGCTCCTAATCCCCAATCTGAAGCATCAGTCTGTGTGACGGCCTTCCTCAAGACTCACAAAGGGAGGTCATCATGTCACTTTAAAACCGTTCACTCTTCTTTACTACCACCAACCATTCTTAAAGAATCATATAGCAGGCCAGTATAACTTTGAAAAATAAGAACTTGGTTTATTGAATACAAAAAGAAAGGAATGGTAAATCACTTGTTAAAGGAATAATCAATTACTGTTTCTCAGGCACTAGCTATCACAGACTCTTTCTCACTGACTCTAATCTCTTTAACTCGCAGCTCAGACACTCATTTCTCATCTGTCTGCTAACTCCTATCTGACCCACTCACACATCACACACACCTTATATATCACAGCTCCTCCCGCCTCTGCACCACCCTCCGCCCTCTCATTGGCTGAGATTTTCCCTCCCAGCTGTGATGGACAGGAAATGCTAAGGCTGCCCGTAACAGTTTGTAGCACAAAAGGTTTGTCAAAATCAGGTGATTTCAAAATAGGAGCAGAAACAATTTTAGTTTTCAAGCATCAAAAGCTCTTTGACACTCTGGTGTCCAAATTATTTTGACAGGCATGCGTTTTTTGGTGAGCTCTGTCAAAGGAGCTGTTGTATCACTGAAATTAGGAATGAATTTAATGTAGTAACCAACCAGGCCTAGAAATGATTGAACCTGTTTCTTTGAAGTAGGAACAGGCCACTGCAGGATACTGTCCACTTTAGCCTGAATCTATTGAATCTCCCCTTGCCCAGTCAAATGACCCAAATAAAAAACCTTCACGTTTACCCACTGACATTTGCTGGCTTTGACTGTCAGACCAGCGTTTAACACAGTTTCAATGTGAGACATGTGAGGAGCAAAATCAGAACTAAATATAGCAAGATCACCCAAATAAGCTGAAGCAAAGGGTAGGTGAGCTAACAGTTTGTCCATCATCCTCTGGAAGGCTGGGGCTGCGTTCTTCAATCCAAATGGGAGATGTAAAAAACAGAAAGCCCCTATGTGGCTTATGAAGGTTGTTTTGTCCACATTCTTCTAATTTTAATTGTCAGTATCCAGAACTTAAATCTATTGTGCTAATGAACTGGGTGGAGGCTAGGTGTTCTATTAGGTCATCCATCCTAGGTAAAGGGTAGAGGTCAGGAACTGTTAAGCTATTTAGCTTCCTGTAGTCCAAATCTGACCTCATCCAAAAAATTTTCCCAAAGCATTTTTCTTTGGCACAATGACAGTAGGATTGGCCCATGCGGAATTGCTTGGTTCAATAATACCCAACTCTAACATCTTTTGAATCTCTTTCTCAATCTGCACAGTGTGAGATCCTATCGCTCTATAGGGACTGGACATCACAGGTGGGCTGTCTCCAGTGTCTATAGCATGGGTGACTAAGTCAGTAGGACCAGGTTTGTCAGAAAACACACTCTGGTAATATTCCAGGATTTGAGAAAGCCATGCCTGCTCACCAGGAGTACCTGAATGAATAAAATTTTCCAGCCAATTTCCAGTATTTTCCAAATCAGACAGAATGTCCATAGGCTCTTCCTCTGGCTTAACACAAGCCGCTTGACACCTCAGAATGACAGCTGCTGTCCTGATATGGTTTCAGGTTGTTAACATGATAGATGGTAGGATTTTCCCCAGAATCAGGCATCTGAACAAGGTCATTTACAGTCCCAACATGTTGCAACACCTTTCCTGGGCCTTCCCATGCAACGTCTAATGTATGAGGCCTGAAGGGGTTCAAGATAAGAACATAGTCTCCCACCTCAAACTCTCTGTGCCTTGATTTGAAGTCATGGAAAAATATTTGCTTAGCTTGGACCTGCTGTAGATTTTCTTTAGCCACCTCCTGAATAGCTTTCAGCTTCATCTGCAAATTGTACACAAAGTCAGCAACAGACACTGAATTGGCTTGGATTATGCCTCCTCAGTCAGCCCTCAATAAGTCCAAAGGTCCATGTAGATTCTTCCCATACACCAGTTCACTAGGGGTTAATCCACCCAGGGATTTGCAGGGTGCAGATTGGTAGGCTAGGAGGATGAGGGGGATCACTTCATCCCATCCCCTACCAAAATCCTGTACATAAGCCTTAATCATTTTGAGCAAGCTGGGGATGATAAGTCACACTGAAATGTATTTTAGTACCGGCCATTTCACAAGCTCTCTCCATCAGTTCACTTCTGAAAGGACCTGCCCTGTCACAAATCAACACAGATGGAATTCTAATCCTTGCACAAACTTCCAAAACACTTTAACACTTTCTATCGAGATATTTGGAGGGGTCTCCTCTAGCCCATATTGCAACAATTTCAAGGGTGGTCCAGAGAATTTTATGTTGTGCTCTTACTCTCGGACGAGAAATCTGATATAACTAAAACAGTGACGAAGTTTTGTGTGGCAGCAATGAAGTGTTGCTGTTCCCTCCTTGCACCAATTAAAGCAATGTCAGATGCTTAGTAATGGCCACACTGTGAAACTATGGAGATTCTATAAAATTTAGCCATATTGCAATAGGTTGTATATTTTTAATTGTATTTTCGTGTTGAATTTGTGGTGACAGTAGAGACAGGGTAGGCCTCGGCCCATCTGCTGGTCTGGCAGACAAATGTGACAACGAAATGCTTCTGTGACTTAGATGTCACAAGAAGAAACAAAGTCTCTCAAAGATTTTGCCACATTTGGCCAGTAAGAATGTTGAGTGACTCTCTGTAGTCTTGTAAATCCCCAAATGTCCCAAAAATGGAGTAGAATGTGCCAGTTCCAAAACCTTCTGCCTATAATTTTGAGGCACCACGAGCTGACTAGACGATTCTAAATCAACTCTAGCATCAGAAGCGAACTGGTGGTACAATAAACCATTCAGATCCCAGTAAAAAGTCATAGACTTAGATTGGCTCAATACTTGGGGCTGGTCAGCTTGAGACTGCAAAGCAATTAAAGAAGGGTCAGTTTCTTGAAGCCTTTTGAACTCACAACTTGCTATTTCTGTGACAATCCCCCCTCCTGGGCAATTACATTCTGGAAGAGCTTCTTCTGGTTTCCCTACAAAAAGAGTACTTACATTGAATACCCAGTGTGATCTACAGTAGTGAACAAAGCTGTGGCCTAGGACTTAGGCGACGTGTTTTCAAATCCTCAGTTGTTCATGAATACTCACTGAAGTTTATGGGGAACTGGTTAATCCACTCCTTAAACATCTCATATGCCTTGAAAGCTCTATTACGGTCCTTGTAAGTTGGTTTCAACTTGATGGCAATAACATTACACTTTTCATGTTGTAAGGATACTGCAAGGACGTGTCACGTTCCCAGGGGTTTCAACAGGCAAAAGTCCAATAAGCCAGTCTGGTATCAGAAGTCCAGAAGATGCAAAGCAGATACCAAAATGCCAAAACCAAAACACAAACAGTAGTCAGAAGTCAGAGTCCAAAGCCAAGGGTCCAGAAAACAAGGTCCAAGATAAGCAGGAACCATGGATGCAAGCCAGCATGTTGACTTGTTGCTTCCACAAGCTTCTAGGCCTCGGGGTGCAGATTTTATAGCAGCAGCAGTCATCTAAACTCTTCATCCTGCTAAAACTCAGGGCTGATATACCTGATGTTCCTATGGGAAGCATTCGTGCAAGCCTTGGACCTTCATGTCATGAACCCTTGCTGAAGCTTATCCCTCACTCTGGCTACTGGGGGAGGAGAATCTGGTGGTGATTCAGTTGCCTGCGATTCTGATTGCCCAGCATTTTCCTCAGTGCAATTAACCCCTCAGATTCCAGATCTTCTTTGACTTAACTCATGGCAGGATGCAGTATCTAAAAGTGGAATTCAATGCCAGAGAAATGCTTGGGGATCGGTTCCGGTGATGGGTGGGGCCAAAGGCAAAGACATGGGTCAAAAAACCCCAGGAATATTTTAGCTTAAAACTCTTACTGCCACTCAATAAGTTTAAATGAATGACAGTGATGATTAAGATATACAGTATATCACAGAAGAGAGTACACTCCCTCACATTTCATAAATATTTTAGTATATCTTTTCATGTGACAACATTGAAGAAATTACACTTTGTGGCCAATTTTGATATTGTCACTTAGGGTTGTACTCACTTTTGTTGCCAGCAGTTTAGACATTAATGGCCGTGTGTTGTGTTATTTTGAGGGGACAGCATATTGGCACATACAAGCTGTGTACTCACTGCTTTACATTGTAGCCAAGTGTAATTTCTTCAGTGTTGTCACATGAAAATATATACGAAAATATTTATGAAATGTAAGGGGGTGTACTTACTTCTGTGATATACTGTAAAATACATATCTCCCTTCCAAAATAGGGGGAAATGTACAAAAGCTTGGATGGAAATCATCAAAGGAGAGTGTCATGAAAAACTGCAGAGGACTGTGTTGTAACTTCAGGAAAACCAGATTTGGCCTCTGAGCCGCCATGTCCTCCCCTGACCCTGTGTCATAGTTCATGGTTGTTGTTGTTGTTTTTCCATGGGACACCATCCTGGGCACCACAGAGATGTATGTGGCCTAAGTGTGGAATAATTGCTTAATTTTTCCTTGCCTTTTATTCCTTGCTTTTCACTCAGAGCGTATCTTAACAGGACTCGTAATGTCACAGATTTCCTTAAGCTTTAATTTTATTTGACTAATGCATTTTGAATTCTGTAAATTCCTTGTTGTGTGTTTTGAAGATCTGTTTCCTTCTGTTTTTCCTGTACACAGAGAGAGGGAGGAAGACAAGGAGATGGCTGATTTCCTCAGGATCAAATTAAAACCATTGGATAATGTTGTAAGATCACCAACCAGTAAGTTTTCAAAACTTTCCAAATGTACCCTCCAGCTACATGTTGGTTAGACTTCAAGCTGGCTTCTTAGATGCCAAGAATGTGATCAGATGGCCATTTGTCTTGTTGTTTGGTCTGCTGCCAGGTTTGCTCCTTTTCCCAATGATCACAAGATGTAATTGCTGCAGCAAACCACCCCGTCCCCAGAGAGATCCTAACCACACCTTTCTGGATCCCTGTCAGAGGCTTCTCTCTCTTTATGTGGGATCATTCCTTTTTCATTCATTTCCAGCATGTGCAATTGCTGGAAATGAACCAAAGTAGAGCTTGCAGCTGTCAATTTATATTTCTCTGCCAATTTACCAATAAGTAGCTTAAGACAGCTTAGCCACTTCATGATATTTGGAAACAATTCCTATGGTCTCTAGAGAGTAAAGAAAGTAAAATTTGTGTGTTTTTTTTTTAAAGAAACTGTTAGGACAGTGCTGATGTACTCTACCTTTCTGAAAAAAAAATCAAAAATTGAAAGCTTCCTTCGAAAAGCATGAAAGGAGGGGATTTTTTAAAGCTCCAATAAACATTAATTGCATTAAAAAGTTCCTTCCTCTGTTTCTCGTCAGAGCAGAGTGAGGAAACAGTTTTTAAAATCAGTTATGACAGTGATGATGTGCTGCATCATTTATGGAATTATTTTTAAATATTAAACTCTTCCTCCCCTAAGGAAGAGGAGACAGAAGGGGGCACGAGCAGGTATTTTTCCCCCAGCCTTCTTACAAGAGCCAGACTAAACTGGTTCACTTGAAGTGCATATGCCATTTGGATGTAAGGATTGCACCAAATAGCATACCAGACCTCTGCCGGACCCAAGTGACCGTGTTCATCCTGCAACTGCCCACTCCAAATGAGCTTTGCACCAAATAGCATACCAGACCTCTGCCAGACCCAAGTGACCGTGTTTATCCTGCAACTACCCACTCCAAATGAGCTCATGTAGACAAGCCCTAAGATTCTGGTTTTTTGGGGGCATTTCATTTTCTTGGAATTGAATTTTTTTCCAGGGGTCATTGGATTTAAGTGTCATAAATCAATCAATCAATCAATCAATCAATCAATCAATCAATCAATCAATCAATCAGTCAGTCAATCAATCAATCAATCAATCAATCAATCAATCAGATATCATCACCGCGGGGAGGGGGGGCGATGATAACTTCCTCAATGGCTCAAGGGGGCATTTCTTTCAAAAAGGTTAAGAACCACTGATGTAGACAAGCCCTAAGATTCTGGAAGCTGTTTTTCATTTAGACATATGAGCAGCATGAAGAAGTTCCTTTTTAAATGTAACAGTAAGGTGATACCCTTATTGAACCATTAAACAATCACACAAATTGCAAGCTTTACTATTATAACTCCCAGAATCCCTTAGCTCACAACCATGCTATCTGGGCATGCTGAAAGCTGTAATTCAAAAGAGGAACTCTTCCAAGCTCTATACTTGTCAGTTATCTTCTCTGGATGCAATAGAATGGATCACAGGAGAGCTTATGTTTTTCATGGAGACCGATTTAATTTCTGCCACCTCCAATTGATAGGAACTTGACAAGTACCTTTGCCTCTTGCTGCCTGTGCCCCCTGCTTCAAAATTTGGGGCACCACTGCTTTCTAGAGCAAACAGCTCAAGCTGCATAGACTAAGGTATCTCCTGAAGGTGGGTTGTATTATCCATGTGGTGCAATCATTAGCTTAGTGTCTGAGCAGTTGCCTTATGGGTTCAATCCCTGGAACCTCCATCCTAAAGGATCAGGTAATGCCAAAGTCTTTTCTCTCCCAGTCCATGAAGAGCTAATTTGGTCATTGTAGACAATTCTGTACTAGGTGGGCAAATCATTGGTAGGAGAAGGGAGCCTCCTATGCATAAGCTTATGTAAAAGAGTGAGACAGTAAGTTCAGGAGAAGTTTCAGATGGGGTGGGGAGCCTCCTATTGCATAGGTAAAGGTAAGGGTTCCCCTTGACAATTTTTGTCCAGTCGTGTTTGACTCTAGGGGGCAGTGCTCATCCCCGTTTCCAAGCCATAGAGCCAGCGTTTTGTCTGAAGACAATCTTCCGTGGTCACATGGCCAGTGTGACTTAGACACAGAACGCTGTTACCTTCCCACCGATGTGGTCCCTATTTATCTACTTGCATTTGCAAGCTTTCGAACCGCTAGGTTGGCGGGAGCTGGGACAAGCGACGAGCCCTCACTCCGTCACGTGGATTCGATCTTACGACTGCTGGTCTTCTGACCCTGCAGCACAGAGGCTTCTGCGGTTTAGCCCGCAGCGCCACCACGTCCCTTCCTATTGCATAGCCTGGGCCTAATACAACCCTAGGTCTGGTCTTCTGACCCTGCAGCGCAGGCTTCTGCAGTTTAGCCCGCAGCGCCACCACATCCTTTCCTATTGCATAGCCTGTGCCTAATACAACCCTAGGCATGCACATGTTCCCAGATTATTTCACTAGCCTGAGACCCACAACACGTTCGCTCCTTTACGCTGCCACCAGTTGATCTTTGTCAACACCCATTAATTAGAAAGATTGAGGTCCATGCCGAGTATAAAGTTTAACAAAACAGGTTTATTGGTTACAATTCACTTAAACAGGTTCTTCACAGACTTTAAAGTGTTCATTAGATTAGTAATAACTTGTTTAACTCTCTCAGCTCTCTATCCGCACTCTTAACTGTCTTCCTTAACTCCACACTATACCACACGCTTTAGTTCCCACAGAGTAACTTTTACTTCAGACTCTCACCTCTGACTCTAACTCACCAACTCACTCACTCCCCCAAAACTCCTCTTCTCGCCCTCACCCCTCCCTTCTGGTTTCTCTGGCTCCGCCTCCCAACAGCTCCCATTGGTACATGCAAATAATCTCCTACACGAGCCAAAGCAGGGTGATCGCCGCAGAAGCCTTCTTAAATTCAGTTGGACTTCCTTACAGCCCCACCTACTCATGCTATGTTAGACATCAGTTTGGAGCTAGAAGTGGATAAGGCCTGGCCCTGATGTGTGTGGGTGAGCAAATGGTTCACTGGACAAACCCCTGCCTATTGTGGGCTGCACTACTGCTGCCGCTGCCACCACCTCTGCTGCTGCTATTCGGGGCACGTGTGAAAGATTCTACTCATCCAGCCTGCCCTTGAAGTTCAGCATCTTTTCCTGAGGTGCCCTATGGTGTGAAAGGTTGCAGGAGTGTCTTGTTGCACTGTAGAGGCCTGCCAAATGGAAGAGCAGATTGTGCCCATCCTTTGTGGAGAGAAGGGAAGGGATGGAAATCTTGGTATTCAGCAGTGCCAGATTTCAAGATGGTGTGCTTGTTCCATGGCAGCTGGGGGAGGCAGAAGTGGAAACAGCAGGGGCAAAAACAACAGGCAGGGGCTGCATGCACCATTGGACACAGCAGCAGAGTTTGCCAGCGTTGCTTTTCACATTACAATGCCCAGAACTGCTCAGACATGAAGGCTTCTGAAGCTGTAATCCAGCAAGCGACTTTTCTGCAGTGCTTCCATGAAAATTGCAACTAGGGTATTTACCAAGTTTCCATTCTGACCCTGACAGGTACACCTGCAGAGAAGAAGGCAGAACCTCCACCACTTCCTCCAAACAAGCCCACCATTGCCAAGACCGGAATTGCTCTCCTTAAAGATTGCTGTGGGACCAGCCAGTGTGCCATCATGTAGCTCCCACCGCTTGGGCACACCTTCTTTTCAACATGCTTAACCAAGAGACAAAAAACTGTAGTGTGGGGGGAGAGAAGGACGCAAAGCATCCTGATATCTTGATAGTGGAGTTTTCTGTACTGTTTCTTACAGTAACTGTTGTAGTGCTGAATGTTCCACTTGGTGACTCCTTCACTGTTGCATGGATTACTCAGCGAGCATGCCTAGGTTAAGACAAGGAGTATATCTAAATATATAACAGAGAACAAAGGAGACTTGTCAAGAAAAGGGGGGAACAACCCTATACATATACAAGAGAAATGGCTCACCAAGTAACAGTCAGATTTGATTTTTTTAATCCTTACGTAAGATACGCATATCAAGACGACAATGTCCCCCTACCCTTATGTTGGCTGAGAACTAAAAGAATCATACCAAGTAACCTGTAGAATAGCAGTTTTAATAGTCTGTGTGTATAGGATGCATTTGACACTTTTCCCCCTCAGTAGGCAACATTCAATCTGTGGACAGAAAAATGTGGCATGGTGGTTACCTTTTGCAACAACAGATGCATTAATAAATATTGTAAATAGAACAATGCAGCTAATAGTGTAGTTTGAAGCTGCCAAGAAAGTTATCTATCATTATTGTGATTTTTCAGTCACTGGCTGTAAATCTACAGGACTTTGGCACACAGAGAACAAAGGACAAATTCTTTCCTGTGGCTGTTCTTTTTTTAAAAAAAACATTTTAGTGGTTTATTTGTAAACTAGTCTCTTGGTCAATTCTTAGCACTGGTTGCTTAGTACAGTGATAAGCAATTATGGTCTGGTGGCAATTGGCTCACCCCTGAAGAATCTCTTGATCACTATGGGAAAGTACCCTACGGCTTCCACAATCCACTGGCAGAATCAACTGTCCCCTGATAATGCTAGCTGTATGGGTTTGAACGTTATGGTCCGGAAAAAAAAGGTTTCCAATCTCTTCTATCACTGGTGCACCTTGTCCAGTCCATCAAGGTATTTATGTCACTCCTCTTCGACTGTAGATTTGTTATGATATTAAGTGATGAAGGGTGTACATACTTTATAAATAAAAAATTAAGAATGAACAACCATGTATAATATAATAATAATAATAAAAGATACAAGACTATACTTAGACCACTGTTGCATCCATACCTAAATCTATCCAATGTTCAGCATCAATTATTTCATAACAGCATAAAAAGAGATGCAATGGTCTTTCCAACGAATTAAAACATCAGTACCCATGGTTTCAGTTATCTGCTGCCTGAAAATATTACATTAAAAAATTCAGAAATACATGTTTCCAAGTTGCATCACCAGAACTGGCCACTAGAGGGAAAAAGAGGTTACTTACCTGTAACTCTGGTTCTTCGAGTGGTCCTCTTTGAATTCACACTAATGGGTTAATCTGTGCCTGAGCAGAGCAGCCTCGGAAGCTTCTATAAGCACTTGGTGATGGGACCTCCCACGTAGGCTATATCACTGCCCCTGGCACCCAGTGCCTCAGTTCCGTAGAACTGTCCACTGCTGTACAGTATATTAACAGATAGTACAGCAGGGAGGAGATTGGGACATGTGAATTCATAGAGGACCACTTGAAGAACCAGAGTTACAGGTAAGTAACCTCTTTTTCCCTCTAGTGGCCAGTTCTGGTGATGCAACTTGGAAACATGTATTTCTGAATTTTTTAATGTAATATTTTCAGGCAGCAGATAACTGAAACCATGGGTACTGATGTTTTAATTCGTTGGAAAGACCATTGCATCTCTTTTTATGCTGTTATGAAATAATTGATGCTGAACATTGGATAGATTTAGGTATGGATGCAACAGTGGTCTAAGTATAGTCTTGTATCTTTTATTATTATTATTATATTATACATGGTTGTTCATTCTTAATTTTTTTATTTATAAAGTATGTACACCCTTCATCACTTAATATCATAACAAATCTACAGTCGAAGAGGAGTGACATAAATACCTTGATGGACTGGACAAGGTGCACCAGTGACAGAAAAGATTGGAAACCTTTTTTTTCCGGACCATAACGTTCAAACCCATACAGCTAGCATTATCAGGGGACAGTTGATTCTGCCAGTGGATTATGGAAGCCGTAGGGTACTTTCCCATAGTGATCAAGAGATTCTTCAGGGGTGAGCCAATTGCCACCAGACCATAATTGCTTATCACTGTACTAAGCAACCAGTGCTAAGAATTGACCAAGAGACTAGTTTACAAATAAACCACTAAAATGTTTTTTTTAAAAAAAGAACAGCCCACAGGAAAGAATTTGTCCTTTGTTCTCTGTGTGCCAAAGTCCTGTAGATTTACAGCCAGTGACTGAAAAATCGAAGTGACAGCAAGTAGAAAAGCCGTCTTGAAGGTAAGTAGTTTCAATGACGTGGAACGGAGGAAACATCAACTTCCGGAGGACCAGCTGAAGAGACTACTGTGGCGTGGGTGGCTTGTAGACCAGGTGTATGTTGCAGAGACCCTTCAGGAACTGTTTCAGCATTGGATGTTGAAACAACTTGGCTGCATCAAAAAGAGGTGGCTAGTATGTCACTATCGCTGAAATATAGACTTTCAGTGTTGAGTGTGACAAGCCACGCTGAAAGAAGAGAAGGAACCTCAAAAGAGTGTCCAGTGATGTAGGGCACACTGGTAAGTTGTGTTCAGTCCCAAAGTCACAGAAAGATTTCTACTTTCGCACATACTTAGCCAAAGTAGAAGGCCTGCGAGCTCGGCTAAGGACGTCCTTTATCGAAGGTCCAACCTCCAGGCTGTGAGGTGCAGAGAGTCCAGATCCGGATGGAGTGTCCTGCCATTGTGGACGGAGAGCAGATGAGAAAGGTTTGGGAACCGGAAGTGATCCACGGCCATCTGAAGTACAGGGGCAAACCAGGGTTGGCGAGGCCACCAGGGAGCAATGAAGATGGCATTTGCCTGGTCCCAGCGAACCTTGATGATCCCCTTCTGGATCAGAGGGATAGGAGGAAACCCTAAACGGCTTGGGCCCTGGATACCTGAAGGACCGCCTCCTTCCATATGAACCTACCCGGCAGTTAAGATCTAGCCAGGGGGCCCTTTTGAAAGAGCCGTCCCTCAAGGAGGTAAGAGGGACGGCTTGTAGAGAAAGGGCCTTTTTGGCTGCTGCCCCTAGACTATGGAATGCCCTCCCAACTGAGATTTGTCTGGTGCCGACGCTGATGACATTTCGGTGCCAGGTCAAAACCTTCCTGTTCCAAATGGCTTTTAACTGAAATAACATGAAATGTGGGTCTGATGGCAATTTTTAGAATATATATTTTAATTGCATTTTAATTATTTTGCCCTTTTATTTTGCCCTTTTTTTGTATTTTAAATGCTGTAAGCCGCCCAGAGACCTTCGGGTAGTGTGGGCAGCATATAAGTTAAATAAATAAATAAATAAATAAATGTGCAGAAGTCCTTCTGTCCAAGAGACCATGAACGCATTCCCATCTGAGTGGCTCCCTGCTGCAGCCCAGGAGCAGTACCGGTCACACTTGCTGTTTGTGGCCGAAGCAAACGCATACAGGCATGGAGTGCCCCATCTCTGACAGAGGGAGTGGAAGACTGCATTGTCCAGAGACTACTCATGAGTGCAGTCCTGGGATCGACTGAGACGATCTGCAAGGAGGTTGTCGGTGGAAGCTACATGTACTGCAAGCAGGAAGATGTGGCGTTCACAGCACCACTCCCAAACTTGGATTGTGAGATACAGAAGACATCGGGAGTGTGTACCTCCTTGCTTGTTGAGGTAGTACACCGCCATGGTAGTGTTGGATGCCAACTGTACTACCTTCCCCGTGAGAAGACACTCAATTGCCCGAAGGGCCTTGAAGACAGCCAGGAGTTACAGAAGGTTGATGTGAAGAGAAGCTTCTTCTGGGGTCCAATGACCATGTGCTATCAGATCCAGGATGTGTGTTCCCCAGCCCTTTGTGCTGGCATCTGTGATGAGCTGGATGGATGGCCGGAGAGGGCCAAAGGGTCTGCCCACAAGGAGATTTGAGCGGAGGGACCACCAGGTCAATTGTTCTGCCAGCTCCTCTGGAACTGTAAGAGTCTTGGAGGGTGGATCGGTGAGAGGATTGAACAATACCAGGTACCACGCCTGAAGGGAACACATCTTCAGTCTGGTGTGTTGAACAATTGGCATGGTGGAGGCCATAAGGCCTAACAGGCGCTGGACCAACAAAGCTTGGACCCTTGCTCCTGCAGTGAAGTGAGGAAGCAGCTCCTGAATCTTCAGAAAGCGGCTTTCTGGAATGAAGGCACGGCTTGAGACCGCATCCAGGACGCCTCTGATGTAAGTCACATACTGGGTAGGAATCAGTGTGGACTTTTCTTGGTTGATCTGTAAACCAAGTTTAGAGATGAGAGACAGCGTAAAGGTTACGTGCTGTGACAGTACTTCAGGAGATGGCTCTACCAGCAACCAATCATCAAGACTGTGATGCCCTGCAAATGAAGGTAAGCTGCCACCTGAGCCAAACACTTCGTAAACACCCTTGGCAAGGTGGACAACCCGAACGGGAGAGCCCTGAACTCATATTACGCCATCCAATGAGAAGCAGAGAAAATGACGGTAATCAGGACAAATACTGATGTGAACGTACGCGTCCTTGAGATCAATAAGAACAAACCAATCTCCCTGCCTGAGCATCTGGATAGTACCATCAAGGGAGACCATGCGAAAATGTTGAGGCATAATGTAAAAATTCAAGGGTCGGCAACTGAGGATAGGTCGAAGCCTACCGTCTTTCTTGGGTATAATGAAGTAGCATGAAAAAAACTGCTTGAGATGTCAGGGTTTACCACCAAGACTATGGTATCCTTAGAGAGTAGCTTATCTATCTCCTCACGCAAAACAGGTGAAGTGTCTGTATTTCTGACGAAACCTGTGCAAGGTGTGGAGCCGAACTCAGTCGCATAACCAGTGGCAACGATGGTGAGAACCCAAGAGTTGGACGTGACTGACCTCCAGGCATCAAAAAATTGGGCTCATCTAATCCTGCAAATCAGTGGTGCTGGCAGGCGCAGAAGGCGAAACCGATTGCTTGTCCTTACGATCCTGGTGATGAGGTCACTGGCGTTGCCTCTGCCTACCAGTCTGCTGCTGAGACTGACCTTAAGAGGTCACCTGTTGTGATCTGAAGCGGTTGTAGTATGGTCTCAAAGAATAGGAATGCCTCCAGGAGTCCCGAGATGCTGATTGGGAGGAGAAGAACTTTGCTGCCTTTCTATGTTTCAAAAGGATCTTATCCATTTTGGGTCGAAGAGGCCCAACCCATCAAACGAGAGATCTTCAATTCTACTTCTCACATCCTCAGCAATGGACGCAGATCTTAACCAAGCGTGTCTATGTAGTGCAATCGCAGAAGCCAGTTGCTTTGAAGAGGCATCCACCACATGCCTGGCTGCAATCCTCTCCTGGCGCGCCAGACACATAGCCTCCTGATGATTAGCTAGACAGGCTACTCTGATATTCTGTGGAGCTGCATTCAACACAGTGAGAACAGCATTCCACAGGTGCTTATGATAGGCACCCATGGCCGCCAGGTAATTCGCCACTCTCAAGACAAAGGTAGCAAGGGTATAGGACCTGTGCCCCAACAAGTCCAGTTTCCGTCCCTCCTTGTCTTAAGGAGAGGCTGAAGACTTAGTGCAAGAACGAGACTGCATAGCATCCACCACCAGTGAATTTGGAAGTGGATGCTTTGCAAGAAACTCTGTGCCTCCACCATAGATCTTATACAGTGGTGCCTCAATTTACGCAATTAATCTGTATTGGAATGATGGCTGTAAACTGAAATTTTCATTAAATCGAATCACCATTTCCAATAAGAATGCATTGAAAACCAATTAATCTGTTCCGGCCTAAGAAAAAATCACACACACAAAAAAATAAAAAATAAAACACTACAAGCCCCTGGGGCTGCAAAAAACAAAACAAACATAAACATAACCCCATCAGCCCAATCCCACCATGCAAAAGCCATCCCAAACAGATTAAAAATGCAAAAGGCGGCACCTTACTTCACCACGAAGCCTCCTCTGAAGCCTCCCGGCCATGCTCATCTGCCCGGGCTCCACCGCTGCCGAGGCTGCCATTGGCGGGAGCCCTCCGGGCCTTCCTCTGTTGCTGCGTGGGCCCGTCGCCACTGCTGGAGCCTCCCAGCTCTGGGCCAGCCCCGCCACAT